CACACACACACACACAAACACACACTCACATGATGCACACACCTCAGGCTTGATATTCATAGCCTCCTCCTCTTTTACTTGACATGGGAGCCTTAACAGATGTGCCCCAGCCTTGAGCTGCTTCCCCCTACATCCCCCACTCTCTCTCTCTTTCTATTCCTCTCTTGTGTTTTACAAAAAATATCTTATCAGAAGGATTGGAAGGAGAAAAAAAAACAGGTAACATGAAATCAAACTCAACGAAAGTCAATCCTAGAAGAAATACGTATCGTTTGCTGCCTTTTATACCATCATTCTACGTTGGGAAATGACAGCGTTAGCTCTGTTAGACCTTGAAAATGATTTAACACATGATTTGATAGTSCCCAGAGTTAAATGTTGAGAATCATTTTCAGCTAATACCACTCCGAATCTTAGCTCACTATTTGCAAAACTTACCAAGTTTGTAGCCACATTTGTGATTGCCAAGGTCAATTAACTCACGTCGGCCATCTTTAATTAGATTCATTTAAAAAAATAATCAGTTGTTTATGAACACCCAATGATTCATTTCTGAGTATTTCATTAAAATCCATCCAGTTGTTCATGAGATGTTTTGCTAACAGACAGGGTTACCTTTATGGTAAAGTTTTATACAAAGCTCTTGAACAATCTTTTAGCGCTCAGTATAGGTGTTGAAGATGACACTCAGCTACTACCATGCTAAGGTTTAGCCTAGTGTCTGTAAAATTGACTAAGTAGGTAGCAATTTATGTGTTTTGGTGCTGGCGGCCATCTTGAATCAATATGACTCCAATAAGTTGGAGATGTACACCAAATGATTACTTTCTCAGAGTTCAATTAAAATCCGCCCAGTGATTCATGAGATATTTTGCTAACAGACGTGCAAAAACGTTGCCTGCTTTTCGTCTTTGCGATGCAATAAAAACATCAAGACAATAGAATGATTAATTAAATCATATATTCTAGTTAGCTTCACTCAAACAAAACCATGATTTCACCTGTTTTTAGTTGTGATTTGTCAAAAAAATTCAGTAGCCTACATTTAAATTAAAAAAAAAACTTTAGCTACATCAAATAAATCCCCTGTTTTTGCATCACATCATCAGATTTTCCCGTCATGTTTTCGTTTTGAACACTCTCCTGAGAAATTTGCCTTTTTTCCGCCTAATTTCCGCCTCAAAAACCTGCTTTATTCCGCTTTTGGAGTTTCAGCGGAGCTCGTTGTGCGTGCGTGCGTGCGTGCGTGTCCGTGTGTGCGTGCGTGCGCATGCAGCCTCGTGCGCTCGAGGCTTATGGTAATTGCGGTCTCCCGACTGGCCTTCTGGGTAGAGTCTGCGCGAGTGGGAGTGGAGCGAGTCGCTCGGCGTCGGCAGCAGCAGCATTCATCCATTCTGTGCGGCACTCCCCGTCCGTCCGCGCGGCTCCGGTGCTTCCCCTCCCCACACCGGTCGGACTCTTTCATCTCCGAACTACGCACTGTGGAAAAGAAGCGGCACGGGAAGAAAACTGAGACGGAATAAACTGAAACCTTCAGCCGGAGCTCCGGGATTCCTCCGAGTCGGAGAGGACGCGGAGAAAGGAGCTTTTTTTTTTCTCTCCCTCTCTCTTCTTTCTCCGAGGACGGCGTGCTCCGCTGAAACCCAACATGGCGCTGCAGCGAGGTACGGCCGAGCTGAATTAATTTCTCCGCGAATACGCCGACCTCACCACCTGTATCCTTCCGGAGCCCGGGTGGGACGGCGCCGTGCTCTCAACCTCTTCTTTGTGGATTTCTTTGTCTTTTTTATTTATATTTGCTCCGTGGAAACCCGAATGACATTTCAAGCTTCCAAAAAAGTCCGCTTTTAAATCCAGAAATATGGATGAGAGTTTCGCGTAGACAACAAAATCAAGACCCGACGGGTTTATTTGTTTGATTAGCGTCGTTTCGTGACAAGTGGATAACCTGTTAGACACTTTTTTGTTGTTTTTTCTTTTTTTCTTTTTTTTTTTTTTTTTTTTTTTTTTTTTTTTTTTTTTTTTTTT